CTTACGCCGCCGCCGGTTTTCTAACCGCTCCGACTTTCGCGGTACGTTTCACACGCGCGCACACGCCGCGCCGGTTCAACATGCGAGCAACGTGCTGCTGCACAGCCGGCGGAAAAGGAAACCGCCAAGAACGCGGCTAATTTCGATCTTCCAGAGGAAAATACGCTGCTGCCTGGTTTCACTCGTGCCTCGACTGACGGGATACTGCTATTACGACGGACGAGCACGCGAGATTATACGAGAGGGGAAGGGGAAACACGGACGCCTAAGCGACACCCCTAAACATCGGAAGTTCCGCGAATTTTCGTAAGAGATAAGGCCTCGTTGCGCGAACGTCGACAGTCTGTTTATGTTTTTGTATTGGAACAGCGTTAATCTTGTATAATGGACTCGTGGAATTATTTTGCTTCAATTTGTATTTTCATAGAATCTGCGTCAACTCTGTTATTCTCCTGGGATTAACGTGAATATTATGCTTCAATAGATACTATTAAAGTGGCTCGTGAAAGCTTAAATTTATTTAAAGGAACTTTTACAAAATATCTTGAAATGATTCGTTAATATTGTAACACAATTAATTAATCTGATAATGTACGTAGAAGTTACAAGATATTTGTGCAGCATGAGTGAGAACCATCTAAAACATGAAGGCATTGGTATTGAGGAATATAATAATGTATTAAATATCTTATATTTTCTATATATATTTTCAGATTTCTTTCGGAATTAAGCCTATGCTAATGAATAATGCTAATGAAATTCCAAAACGTTTAATATATGTACGAAAAGTTTCTGAAGACTGTCTGAATATTTTTTTTGAACGACTCTACATGTACATGACTTTTAAATATTTGGTTTCAATAGTCAATATAATTTTTACCCCACGCTTTCAATAAATACAGTATTGCAAAGAAAGGAGAATGTCTGAAGGGATTAATGTCATTGAAAAGACCGGCAGAGTCCATTTTAACGTTATATTAATGTTAAATAATGATAAACTCTGATATTCTTTTATTACGAAAATTAAAATGTCTCACTAGAAACTCTCCTCTATCTAGATATAAAATTTGTACCGCTATCGAACTTTAGTTTCTAGATTAACCACAATCGTTAGCAAATATCAGGGTGTCAAACTCGATCATTTCAATGATTCTCAAATGTCTGTTGTTACGTAAATTACGTAAAACTATGCGTTCTAGTTTCAATTTGTATTATATTGTAATTATTATACTTTTCTACATCAATTGCTCTCTAGATTTGATTTTAACGATTCCGTCAACGGGATATATTTTGGTGATAGCGTTTCAACTCACGTTGATTACTGGTCCATTTCTGTTAATCATTATCATTAATAATCAGATTGCTGACTATTAGAACAGTAAAATACTTCAACATCTATCCATGTGATCCTTTTATCTCGCTCCAATTTCCTGAAATGCACTGAGCGGTGTTGATTTTCGATTATACGTGAAAGAGATTCCTCCGTATATTTTTAATAAATAAGAGAAACAGAAATTTGGAGTTTCTCGTTAATGAAAATCGCATCACAGCGGGCTAGTTCCGTTGAATCGCGCAAATGAATAAATAAATAATTGTATTCAATGTAATTCAATCTCTGGTCAAATTTACTTGACAATCGTAAGGGAAACCTTCGCCGCGAATTTCGAAAGTGTAAATCGAAAATAAATGGGCCCTAAACCTCGATGTCGCTGCTAGAAAGAAATACGAAAGCACGCAAGAGAAAAGTCAAAACAAATATTTACATTTGATACGGAATCGCATAGAATGTGACTGCACCACCATTAGTATAATGTGTGCTCATCCTTTATCAAAAGCAAGTTGCGAATGTACTGCGCGCTCATTTCGCATGACATTTCATTTTCGTGAAAAATCGTCGGCGAGTTTTCTCGCGTGAAATAGAGCGTGGAACTACCGCAAACTTCTGTCGGTGATACTTTTAAACTGTGATTTTACATCGTTCATATATTTTGCTTGTGAAAATTCGCATGTTCCACCGCCTTGTTCCACGTTGTATACGAAACGTTGCACATTCGTCGCCAGTTTGTACAAGAAAGAAATTAATACTCTTAACGTGAATTAATAGAAATAATAGTATTATAACAGTATCTATTAAATATATTTAAATAATTTAAACAAGTAATTAAATACTACTCTTGATAGAAAGCTCCCGATCAAACGCAACTACTCGAGTCACCAATTTCATTTCAAACAAATACAACAGTGTTTTATACTTCAAATATTCGCGTTTGGTCGAAAATATAGTAGTAATACTAAATAATTAGACAGTATTTGAAAATATAACAGTAAATTAGTAAAAATAGTATCATTGGGAAGCTCAAACGTTGTTTTCCATTTTAAAAAAATGATATGCGCCATACAAGTGTTCCAGAAAAGAAAAGGTAGATGAAACTGAACGATGAAGAAGTGAGAACAGCAAGATTAATAGCAATTGACTTATACCGATTACTTTTACATATAATAACATTATATACATAACGTAAGAAACGTCAAAATCGTATTTTCGAATTTCATCCCCGAGGATAAAGTTTATTCCAATGAAATTCGCAGCGAAGGATCTCGTGATCTCGGAAGAGCAGATACGCACGATAACCATTAGTTAATTTAGATTGGCTTATCGCTAGATATGCCAAGAGTTATGATTCTGTTTACGAACAATCGAGAGTAACGTGGACCAGAAACGACTGGGTATCTTCGAAGATCGTGAATTCGATAAAGCAGTCCTGGATTTTCTTGTCAAAGAAGATTCTATCTCTGATCACAGTACTGCTAACTAAATATTAATTATAGTAGTAAAAAATCAGAACGTAGTTAAAGTATCGGTGATTGTCGAATAATAAATACAAATTAAAAACACCCTAAAGTATTATTAAATATTATAATACATTTCGATGGCTGTCGAAAGTTTTCTCATCTAGAGCGAAATTTTATTTCAAACAGCGATAAACTGTGTATCAATGAAGCCCTTTTTACAAAAATTTTTATGAATTGATGTACTTTGTAAGATGCAGTGCATGCTATATTTGCAAGGTAGATTTTTATTTTCAAAAACTCTTTATTTTAATGATTGAATAAAATTTATTCCCTAGCCAGAAACTTTTGTCACTTTTGTAAATGTAATACATAACTGTAGTAATTTATTAATTAGATTAATTTTACTTTGGATTTCACATTTATCAAAATAGAAATGAAAATTACAGTAAATTAAAAATCCCAAAATTAAGTAATTTAATCGATACAATACCAATTGATAACTAAAATTATGTTCTACATATGAAAAAAACTACCTAGCGAATGATCAAAAATTTGTATTCACGAGAGTACAAAGGTGTTAAATATTCAAAATTTCGATGTTACTTTATGATGTTCTTCGTGATATCAGTAAGAAAACTCATCGAATTAAAACTTTTAAATTGATTGATTCCAATTTGATTTAACTTCAAATTTGACCCAACGTTCAATGACACCGGTTGAGAATTAAAATTAAGGTCTACAAACCACTGGCCGATCAAAAATTTGCAGATAGAAAGTTGTTGAGCATTTGTCAAAAGATTTCGACGCTTCTGCTTAAACGATTTCATGCCACGTTCGAACCATCGAAGCGTTTTGTTGGTACGACGCAGGCAAAATATTTCGTTGCTGTTCGAGAAGTACCGACCGGCAGAACGAGTATTTCGAAAAACTTTGTCGAAATATCGGAACTCGATGTCGAAGTTTCCGCAAGTGCAACTGGAGCGCGCCCGCTTTCTCGGTCGCAGCGTGCGAGCGATGCGTGCAGCGTGAATACACGTATGGGACGTGAACGCGCGTATGCAACAAAATAAAAAACAATTTTATCAACGCGTGCGTCCGCGACGAAACAACGAAAAATATGAAACGCAGAAATTAACCGGAATCGATAGGCGGGAAATGTGCGCGAGCTTTCAAATATTGGAAAAAGTACGGCCAGCGCGAGGTTTATCCTTCTGGCGAATAGAAATCAAATATTTGCTAAACCGGTTATCACCACATGCTTCGAAGGTCTATGTAAATTTGTTTACACGAAAGTTTGTAACGTATTGGCTGTGTCGCGTATCGCACGTACGAAAATCCTTTTCTGGTTTACTTTCATCCGTATCGTCAATGAGTTCTCCAATGAATTCGTGG